TCAAGGCTGATGTTCAGCCCCAAGTCTGCATCAAGTTTCAGCAACCATTCCCAAATTGGAAATGCAAATTTCCCATCTCAGATTATTCAACTAATGTTATCTCTTTGTAGAGGTGTTTGTTTGTTTGTTTGACATCATGCGCATCGATCTGCGCAATTGGGATAGGATGCCATGCATCAACCAAGTCAGCGAGCTTGACCGATCGGACCAATCCCGTATTTCAATTATTATAGGACCATTAACAGTATATGCTTTTTCGCTTTCATTTACATAATTGCATTGAGTTTCACAAATGAAGAACTTACAGAATGAATCCCAATTTTGAATAAAATAATGATATTTTCCCCACTTTGCCAAGGGCACTCATTGTGGAATTCCAGATAAAGCCCTGCATCGTAACATTTATTTTTTCCAATTAGCATGAAACACTAACTCTCTCTGACAAGGGCTTTTTTCATTCCTAATTTCAAACACTGTGATGAGGAAACTCATATTTGCACTTTATATAAGAAGTGAAAAGAGAAAAAGTATTGACATTTCAAAAACATGTGAAAATAATTTGTATTCAGGCCACTGTGGCTTCAGATTTGGTTCAGGGATGGCTAAATCAGCATGTACATATCTTACATGTTGATTGTCACACGTAGCCATGCACCCTGATTTATATATTCAAGATTAAAACCACATAGGATGTTATGTAGTATTAATATCATAGAATATCATGTATTGTTATGCCTCTATTGAGAATCTTGCAATTTTCATTGGTCAATCGGGGTGGTCAGTTGGCCGTGTGGTTTAAGCGTTCGCTCGTCACGCTGAAGACCCGGGTTCGATTCCCGACCTCGGTAAAATGTGTGAAGCCCATTTCTGGTGTCCCCACCATGATATTGCTGGAATATTGCTAAAAGCAGCGTAAAACCATATAACTCACTCACTCTTTGATCAATCCGTACTTTTACAAAACAATACATTTCAATGTAGACTCCCAAATCATGTGACTGACACCAACTTCGAATATTGACTTGTCATATGATCAGTATTGGTGATGAAAATTGACTCGTAGCTAGAAATCAAGATGGCATCTGGTTCTAATATTTCACAGTTCACAGCTAGGTTACTGTAATGAAACAGAGGACGGTTTAAAGGCTTCATAAACTTTAAAGTGAATTTCGTTATAACAAAATGAATTTTTATTCTTGACAAGGTCAAAATGCGAAATCAAGGACCCTTGCACCTGCCCCTTTTGGCATTTTTTGACCGGACCACCTCAGGGGTCAGGACCTGGTTTACGTATATTGACCTAGTCAAGAGTAATTATTTGTATAATATTACCCTACAGGATATTAACACCTCACAGGATGTTATAAGAATCTGCACGTGTCAGAGTGGCTGGCTATTGTTACAATTGATATTTATCAGAATATGTTTCATATTTACTTTGGCAAGGCCAGTGTTATTTTATTGTTTACTGATTTTCTTAGATAATTTGCCAAAAGGTAGGAATTAAAATTAAAAACAAATGTGTTGTGATAGTTGAAATGAGATTAAGAATGAAAGAAACGAATATAGCTCTTGTAATAACATTTTTATTAAAGAGAGAAAAATGGAAACAAAAAATGATGTTTCAAAAAGCAAAGGTCAAAGCGTGTACATGAATGTTGTAATCCTGATACCCAATGATTGACATTTGTCATTTATCAGTATTAAAAAGTTACAAATACTTATTGACCCTTTTCACACTGTCGCCATCTTGGATCGAAAATGAGGCTTGGAGAAAGCTCCATGCAGTGTGAGCCGCATCAGCTGATAAGGAACAGAGAGCATGTTGTGCATTTCACTGATGGACCTTTCAAACAAAAAATGGTATCCTCTGTATCTAATACAGAAAATATTGCACACTTAATCCAGAGGTCCAAATAAAATATGCCTGTAATCCACTGGAATTCGCATTTTGGTGTCAGGATCCCGGAAGTGAATTGAAAGATGCATTTCGTGATACATATTTCAGAAATATATTATTTTATCATAACCTCGTCAGCATATGGGTTCAATGTAATAGTATATTAAATGGCAAGTTTTGTATCATAAATGAACTGCATAACATGCAACACGTCCGTGCATTTTGCAAATTTGCTCAGTCAACGCGTGGCTTGGAGAACTCAAGATCGTCGACCATGTTTATTTCATGTTTTATAGTGGTGTTTACTGCACTACGCACTATCGTTTTACCATGAGTCCAGTTGACAAAAGACACTTTTTCTGCTATGATTTTCATGCAATCATATTACGATGTAAATGAAATAAGTTCACACAAAAAAAAATATTCAGAAGGGCTATAACTCTATTCAGTGTGTACAATGACAGAAGAAACTTTACTTTTCCTTCAAACATTGATATCACTTATTTAACCGATTATTGGCGACTAAGATTGCACCCTGCACGACAAAAGTAATAATGTTTGAAATGTTTAAAATAAGTTAAAATGAAACTTAAAATTAATAAAAATAAATACTGTAATGCATGAAATCGAAGAAATAGAAGATTTGATACAAGCACCAACTTCTTGAACACCCTGACCTAATCCTATATGATGATAAGGAATTGTATATCAAAAGGAAGCTACTAATACAATTATCCTGAATAGTATGAAAATGCTTTGGTCAGATATGAGTACAGATAAAATGAAAAGGAATCAACTTCAACTGGTAATCAAGCCAAGATAAAATAAATGTACTGGTACAAATTATGTTGATGGAACAATCTGGATTTCTCATATTTAACAAAGAAAAACAAACCGAAAGTTTCATGTCTTTATTTCTCACAATATAAGCTTGTTTTTCGTCCTCTTCAGTTATTCAGTCTTTCCAAACTTAACATGGACCTGGTGTCTTTGTCACTCAAAAGCACCTAATGAAATTCCAGGAGAAAATAATTTTCTTGCTTGTAAACAAATGGTACAATGTGTATTTTTAGAGTCTGATAAATATTGGCCATGTTGTTGAGTGAGTGAATATGGCTTTTCACTTCCTCGTCCTATTCATGGTTATGCTGACAGCCTGAAATGTTTATGTACGACAGATATATTTTTCCAGAATTTACCGGGGGTAATTGCCCATGATTAAGGGTGCATATAACACACAAGTACGTATTATACGCGAATAAATTAGTCTTGTGTACATTGATCAATCGAAAGGGGTGCTAACTGGGATTGTTCACCGGCCAATATATCAGCAGATGTCACTGTGGGTGCTTATTACGTCGAATACAGTAATCAATTAGTTGGGTTTTTGTTCATTTCCTGACATGATTAATTTGGTACCATAAACTGCACTGGGAGTAACAGGTGGTCATGGATATTTGAAATTGAAATTACAACAGAACAGCCAGACTCACTTGCTAAATTTATATCAGTAAGGAGACCAGATAACAGTAGAATAGTCTGTCATTGATAAGAAAAAAAAAATGTTCAATACTTACGATAAATGTTGCCGCGATAGTACCGGAATGGTTAAATTGTTACAGTTTGTCCCGATTGCGTGCCTTGTTGACATCTCCATGTGTTTCATGTGCTGTCCAGTCTTCACCTTCTGCTCTCCAAGCCTTGATTTCAAACCAGAAGTAGCTGATCGAAAATGGCCAATTGCAGTGAATTTTTCCTGTGTGACCATATCAGCCGTGATGCTGATTGGTTGATAAGGCCACCATTTTTTTATCCCCCGCCGCGCGAAAGCGCGAAGCGGGGGATATAGTATTCACGACCGTCCGTACGTATGTCCGTACGTCCGTCCGTACGTCCCACCTGTTTGTTGCCGCGATATCTCAAGAACTAAACACTGGATTGTCTTCATATTTGGAACTATGGTGTATATACAGACTCCGCAGACACCAGTCGGTTTTGGTGACCTTGATCCCATTTTCAAGGTCACAGCAGACAAATCTGCTTTTAGAGTTGGAAAACGGTGTTGCCGCGATATCTCAAGAACTAAACACTGGATTGTCTTCATATTTGGAACTATGGTGTATATACAGACTCCGCAGACACCAGTCGGTTTTGGTGACCTTGATCCCATTTTCAAGGTCACAGCAGACAAATCTGCTTTTAGAGTTGGAAAACGGTGTTGCCGCGATATCTCAAGAACTAAACACTGGATTGTCTTCATATTTGGAACTATGGTGTATATACAGACTCCGCAGACACCAGTCGGTTTTGGTGACCTTGATCCCATTTTAAAGGTCACAGCAGGCAAATCTGCTTTTGGAGTTGGAAAACGGTGTTGCCGCGATATCTCAAGAACTAAACACTGGATTGTCTTCATATTTGGAACTATGGTGTATATACAGACACCGCATACACCTGTCAGATTTGGTGACCTTGACCCCATTTTCAAGGTCACAGCAGGCAAATCTGTTTTTGGAGTTGGAAAACGGTGTTGCCACAATATCTCAAGAACTAATCGCTGGATTGTCTTCATATTTGGTACTATGGTGTACAGGCGGGGGATATTTCGTCACTCTGTGACAAATACTTGTTCTAATTGCTTCACAGATCTGCCAACTGTATATTTTGTTGAAATAGAAGAAAATATTTCTGAATTTGCTCCTTTTTATATCCTGCAAATAAGCTGGTAGCATATTGCACGCAAACAATATTTTCTAAACAACGACCCACTATTAATTATTTTGTATTTATGTTTAATAAACAAACAACTTTTTCATGTAGAACCCCTGAGGAAGCTTTTTTTATTCCAGCCTATTAATAGTAATGAGAAAACTAATTTATTATTATCATATTTTATTTTCACAGCTATTTTCCTGCTCATCAGATCCCTACTCAGGGAGGTATCATATTGAAGTGAAGGATTTGATTCTATTAAGATTGAAAAGTTCTCCCTCCTCACTTTTCAGGCAGAAAAAAGCAGAGAGTATCTGAGAAATATTTCAATACTGATCTTATGGGCTGCATGTTGTGTTGTCTTATTGGTCAGATGTGATTGTTGCAGATGGTACAGAGCGCCGGAGTTGTTGTACGGAGCCAGGAAATATGACGAGGGTGTGGACCTGTGGTGAGTGGGTTGTCTTCATCACTGCCATAGAACCCTGTCTGGACTAGCCAGCTTCGAGAGCGGTTGGTTGGTTTGTTGTTTAACGCCACACTCAGCAATATTCCAGCTATATGATGGCGGTCTGTAAATAATCAAGTCTGGACCAGACAATCCAGTGATTAATATCATGAGCATCTATCCACACGATTGGGATCGATGACATGCATCAACCAAGTCAGCGAGCCTGTCCGGACCGATCCCGTTAGTTGCTTTTTACGACAAACATAGTCGCCTTTTACGGCAAGCATGGGTTGCTGAAGACCTATTCTACCCAGGATCTTCAGGAGTCGCTTAGATAGCGGAAGGTCAGAGGTTCGATCACAAGGCATGTCATACTACTTTAAAAAATGTTACTTGCTGTTACCCTGCCTGGCGCTCGGCATTAAGGAGATAAAACTGGTTGGCTTGGAGTCAGTGTAATATGTCTGAGTGGGGTATCCATGCTATACCGTGCCATGGAATCTCAGTAGGCTAACCAGTCTTAGTCTAGATTAGTACAAGCTGCCACAAACACACATCCATATATGTGAAAATTGTGAAATCACTAAATGACCATACAAGCTCCATAAATAATCAATAAATTACATTAAAACACACAGTTTTCACTTTACAAGCTACACAAGCATTACAATGAGTTAAGCTAGTGGCAGGAGAAATAAACAACAGACCCTGAAATTATTGTAAGGGCACTATCAAATGTTCAGAACTTTTGTCACTGTCGATTGTCTTGAAACAGGACAGTCTCCATTCTTGAATCCGGAATAGTGTTGGAAACTGTCAGGAATTTTGTGTTTTCAAATTCGTATCCATTCTGCACTGAGAAACTAGATAAGACACAAGTCAGATTGAAAAAGGCCACAAATTACCTTTGTGTCAGTCAACCTTCCAGAAAAAGTCCCATCCTGAAACTTCTCGAATGATCAAGCCTGTCATGTATGTAAACAACCAGGGGCAGATAACTCTAATCATTCAATCATTCTGCTGACACTACAAGTAAGTTTCTGCTGCCATTAGTATTGCTTACACATTGCTGTTTGCCAATACGCAATAGGCAAGATAAAAATAAATATTATCAGGTACGTTTGACATACATATCTTTAAAAAACTCCAAAACCAACAAACAAAATAATCCTATTTACGATCAAGGAAACATTTAGTTGTTTCTTGTTTACTAATTACATGAAATACTGTATGTAAGACAAAAAAATAAATTAGTCTTGCTGAGGGCTCATGTAACACAAGGCAAATAACTAAAGCCTATCACCAGAGATGTTTCTTCCTGGCTTCTCCATCAGTTAAAGACATATTATCACCTGCTAGAGGATGTATAACATCTGTCAGTTATTGAAAACAGGTCACAGTCTCCTTTGAAACAATAAAAATCTCCCTACAATCTTCATTTTGAGAAGAACTATGAAAAATTATTAATCAGTTTGTTCTTGCCTTGGGCAACATTGTGTTGTGCATCTGTTTCTTATCGATTTTGGTTAAAAGGGGAGATGGTCGGGAGGTGAGGTTAGGTGAAATGGGGTTAATGTCGCATCCAAGACTATTGCACTTATATAGCGACGTGCTATGTGCTCGCGTGCTATGTGCGTGCGTGCGTGCGTGTGTGCGTGCACTGGTCCAGACTGATGCCGATTTATAACACTAGCCCACTGAGATACCATGCAGCAGTTTAACACAAATACCCAACTCAGACACAGTATACTGACTCCGATCCGACCAGTCCTTGCTTTAGCCCCTTAATGCTGAACGCCAGACAGGGTAACAACAAGTACCATCTTTTAATGTCTTTTGGTATGATGTGACCAGGCATCAAATCCCAGACCTTCTGGTCTCCGGGCGGACACTCTACCGCTAAACCACAAGGCAGTCGACTTGGTCAGGAAAGAAACAGACCCTTGTTAGAATGAAACTTATGCATCACGAAACTGATTCAGTTGATGCTGAATGTGAATTAATTCACAGACAATAAACACTCAGCTTGTGTTCAGTGAGACCAGACAGTTATCAAGCCACATAATCTACTCAAAGCAGTTATGCTTACCAGTTATGCTCCATCACTGCCTCCAACACTCAGCATGGTAAAATAATACATGGATGTTTCTACATTTATTTCAGGGCTGTGGGCTGTATTTTTGGAGAGCTGCTCAACAACTCCCCTTTGTTCCCGGTAGGTAACAACCTGTTGATGATGGTGCCAAAATATCCAACCCAATCTAAGTGAAATTCCTTTCTTTGTCCAACCCCATCTTAGTGAAATCCCTCTCTATATTCTAAATATCCAAGTGAATAACTTTCAAACCCCATCCTAGTTACATCACTCTCTTTATCCAACCCCAACCACATGAAATACCTGTCTTTATCCAAGTGAAATACCATACTATATCTCAAGTCTGTTTTTATGAAACCTCATCCTTTTATCACATCCTACTGCCTCACTAACTGGCTACCTCACTCACTCATTTTCTTCCTTACACCCTACCTCAGTACCTTGCTCATTCCCTCCCATCCATTCGACCACCCACCCGCCCATCCACCTGCCCATCCACCCACCCATCCATTCGACCACCCGTCCACCCACCCGCCCATCCATCCACCCACCCATGCACCCGCCGATCCACCTGCCCATCCTCCCGCCCGCCCGCCCATCCACACACACCCATCCACCCACGCATCCATCCATCCACCCGCCCATCCACCCATCCATCCACCCGCCCATCCATCCGCCCATTCACCCACCCACTCACTCAAACACTCAAACACTGTTTGCCAGTGTGGAAGTGTTCTCACTTGTGTCTATGTTTCAGGGGGAGACCGACATAGAGCAGCTGGTGTACGTCCTCCGTGTACTGGGTACCCCAAACAAGGACACCTGGCCGGTACGTACTGCTATGTCAACCTGCAGTCCAACATACTTGTGACTCGTTCATATCACCCAAAAAGGTTTACCAGCCTTGGTGTACAGCTTTAGATTTCAACACATACCCTTCATTTGCTTGAGAGGCTTGAGTTGTCAGAAACATCTTCTAACTCCGGATAAACAAGCTCTTACTTTCTTTTGTAAAAAAAAAAATTGTAGTAGAAGTAGTAGATATTTTGGCCAACTTGGGACACTTTAAGAGAGCAATTCAAAATTGTGTAGAAATAAATACTAAATTTTTATAGAGGGGATGTCAATCTTCAATCAGAAAGGTGTCATATCGCCTTCAAATATCTGATTATAATTATATCGAATCATGTATGTATCAGATTATACTTCTCTATCAGTATACGATCCGACCACAGTCCAGGGAATGAAGACCCCAGCCGAGTCATACCCAAAGACGTTAAAAGAGGGTACTTGTTGTTACCCTGCCTGGCACTCAGCATTAAGGGGCTAAAACAAGGACTGGTGGGCTCAGAGTCAGTATACTGTGTCTGAGTTGGGTATTTATGTTAAACTGCAGCATGGTATCTCAGTGTGCTAGAAATATATATCAGCTTCAGTCTGGACTAGTACAAGCAGCCACACACACATACATGTGCATGCACATCACTATATAAGTGCAATAATCTTGAACGTAACGTTTAACCCCCTTTCACCTAATCACCTCCAGGGAATGACAGACCTGCCAGACTACCACAAGATCTCTTTCCCCTACAACCCCCCGATTCCCTTCGAGGAGATCCTCCCTGACGCCTCCCCAGTGGCCCTGGATCTTCTCAAGAAGTTTTTGGTTTACCCCACAAAGAAAAGGATCTCGGCTAAGGAGGTGAGTCCTTGGTGACCTCTATATCATACAGCCGTGAAAAATGAATTCCCATCAGAAATATTTTTTCAGAATACATTTCACCAGATGCATCCAGTGGATCTTTGACACTTTCAAGCATCTGCCCTTCATGGAAGGTATCTAAAATGAAATTACTTTGTTAATAGGAGTAATTATCGTCAGAACGGTTTGTTTCCTGTTTGACAGATTAGCCAACCTTGGAAGTTGCAAGTTAAAAAAACTAACGATGCAAAATGCTTTGTTTGATAAAAAGAAATAAAAAATTGTTAACACATAATTATAATTCTTGAACTCAGAAACAATAATGCCTAGAAAGCTGAAATACCCATGAAGATCTGGGGTAGAATAGGTCTTCAGCAACCCATGCTTGTCGTAAGAGGCGACTAACGGAATCGGGTGTTCAGGCTCGCTGACTTGGTTGTTGCATGTCATGGATCCCAATTGCGTGGTTCGATGCTCATATTGTCAATCACTGGATTGTCTGGTCCAGACTTGATTATTTACAGACTGCCGTCATATAGCTGGAATATTGCTGAGTGCGGTGTTAAACAACAAACAAACAAACAAAGCAAGCTGAAATGTTGGGGGGGATATGAAGAGTTAAGTATCCATGTTAAGTATAAAAAATAATTGTTCAAATATTGAAAACTGTTTAAGCATCATCTTCATGGAAACAGCAAGGGTTAGTGTTTACATGAAAGTTTTTTTGCACAGACTGAGGAAAATTTGTCGAAGTGGTAATGGAATGAGGAAGGGATATGTAGAGAAATATTTAAAAGCGGTTGTTAATACATCTCATCAGATTTTCACAGACCAGACAACTATCAATTATCAAATGACAAGTCTCAAGTGTCAAACCAGTGTCAAGTGGTCTCTTCAAGTCATGAGGTCATGCTGACCTTGAGCCATGACAAGTGACCTTGAACTTTGGCCAGTGACAATATACGATGTCACCACTCTCGAGAGTGACTATATCAGTTTACTGTCAATTGACAGAGATAGGGGATTTATTTCACTGATTTGACTTACTCAATTATGTTATAAATATCCATATTTATTGGGGGCAGTGGAGTAGCCTAGTGGTTAAAGTGTTTGCTCATCACCCTGAATGTCCAGGTTCAATTCCCCACATGGCTACATTGTCTTAAGCCCATTTGTGGTGTCCTCCAGTGTGATATTGCTGAATTGCTAAAAGCGGCGTAAAACTATACTCACTCACTCACTCATGACGGGAAACATGATGCACGAACTATAAAACGATGTGACTTCGCTATTCTTTGTGAAGAAAATAGGTTTGCACAAAGTTTATCCAATGGTATGTTAGTGTATGTGATTATGTTAGTGCCTATGTTAGTGACTTATGTATGATGTGGCCTGTTTGTCCAGTGTCTGTCAGGTGTAGTCCATCTTCTTCTCAGAAACTACTGGTCCAATGAAGCTGAAGCTTCACATGTTTGTTCCCACCAGAGATGATACCCTAATTTGTTCAAGAGGTTCAAATCTGATTTTCAAATGACTGCCATGCACCAGCATATGTGGAATAAGTGTATTTTATGAAACCAAAACCATTCCAGATTTATATGAAAGCATGTCCAGTCAGCTCAATTCACCTATGAAATCAGCATCAAGAAAAACATTTAGAGGAGAGAAATGTATTGTTTACTACAAGATTTCATAGACTACAGTGATCCCTCGCTACAACGTTACATTCAGGGTCCAAATAATTGATGAGCATTATAGATGATCAGCGGTTTAACGAAGGTCAAGTCGTGGGTGGTAGATGACCAACAAAACAGTATACATGCACTGCCTACCTAACACGATCTACGTTGCACGTTTCAGAGTTTCAAAAAAGATTAGTTAAAAAAAGTTATTAATGATTCACAGTGTTAAAAAGATTAATCGAGTATTAATATGCGCTTTCAAAAAGAAAACCACATCGTATCCCTTCAGGTGAATAAACAGGTATAACAAACTTGGTCAATAAATGTATGAAATTTGATATGAAACATCACTAAACATGATGATTTACGATTTAAAATGTATATGTTAGTTGATAAAATTTGGTATATCTGTGGCTAGTAGTCGGATGCAACATACATTGTTTTTACTTCACAATCTCTTATATTTTGGCCTTGTTGGATCATGCTCTTAAATTCTCTCAAAATGCATGTTTGCCTCTGTAAATTTCTCTCTACAAACTGCCAGACTGAGGGAGCTGAATTTTGGCATGCCTGCTTCTCCTTATGATGACATTATGTTTTGTTCATTTTGTTAGGTTTTAGTGTTAGCTATTCGTATTGTTGCAGAAATTATTTGAATATCAATTGTGACAGCAGCTTTTGTTCTGTAGCTATCTTTGTTTTTTAAACTGCTGACTACAGGGTGAGCAACATTGCAGTGGCACTATTTTTCGAGTTTCCATGCTTTTTCAACATCTCTGTTACCTCTGTTGATGAAGCTGAGAAAATTGTGTCTCTAAAATATGCCCAAAGCATTTAATATGAGTTTTAACTTTTAACTTTGCTGAAAAGGTATGAAAAGGCATATACAGAGGGTATGTCCTAGCTATGCTAAGAGACACATTTTACTTTTATACCCCCGACCTAAAAGTTATACCTGACCCGTGAAGATTCCGGGGTAGAATAGGCCTTCAGCAACCCATGCTTGCCGTAAAAGGTGACTATGCTTCTCGTAAAAGGCAACTAACGGGATCGGGTGGTCAGGCTCGCTGACTTGGTTGATGCATGTCATTGATCCCAATTGCGTGGATCGATGCTCATGATATTAATCACTGGATTGTCTGGTCAAGACTCGATTATTTACAGACCGCCGTCATATAGCTGGAATATTGCTGAGTGAGGCGTTAAACAACAAACCAACCAACCAACCAACCAACCAACCAACCAACCAACCAATTGATTCTGTCCGTCAATCCTTCCAAGGACATTTTTTGTGCAACCTGTAACTTGAACACTGCTGCGTCGATTCTTTTCAAATTTGGGAAACACTCTTCATACCAATAGGAGAGATGCGGTGCAAAGTTTGATTTCAATATTTCCATTTTGCTGAAATAATACAGCTATTTTTTCACTTAGAATTTAAACGACCTGTAACTTGAAAAATGCTTCATAGATTCTTTTCAAATTTAGGGAACAGTTTCCAAGAAGAATGTTTAATTACGTCCTTACTGCATAGCAGTTACATATTAACTTCTCCTCTCCTCTTTATTCTCATCCTAGGCTCTCCTGCATCCTTACTTCTTCACGGAGCCCCTGCCTGCCCATCACTCCGAGCTGCCCATCCCCCAGCGTACCCGGCGGAGTGGGCTGCAGCACAAGCACCAGACGCACGAATACACAATGGACACCCCCCTAGAGGACTCCTTGCTAGACCCCGAGCTCATAGCACCCCACTCCATCAGACTCAAGTAGAGACCCCGAGCTCATAGCACCCCACGCCATCAGACTCAAGTAGAGACCCCGAGCTCATAGCACCCCACGCCATCAGACTCAAGTAGAGGCCCCGAGCTCATAGCCCCCAGACGCCATCAGACTCAAGTAGAGACCCCGAGCTCATAGAACCCCCATGCCATCAGACTCAAGTAGAGGCCCCGAGCTCATAGCCCCCAGACGCCATCAGACTCAAGTAGAGGCCCTGAGCTCATAGCACCCCAGATGCCATCAGACTCAAGTAGAGACCCCTAGCTCATAGCCCCCAGACGCCATCAGACTCAAGTAGAGACCCCTAGCTCATAGCACCCCACGCCATCAGACTCAAGTAGAGACCCCTAGCTCATAGCCCCCAGACTCCATCAGACTCAAGTAGAGGCCCTGAGCTCATAGCACCCCACGCCATCAGACTCAAGTAGAGACCCCAAGCTCATAGCCCCCAGATGCCATCAGACTCAAGTAGATACTCCGAGCTCATAGCCCCCCCATGCCATCAGACTCAAGTAGAGACCCCTAGCTCATAGCACCCCACGCCATCAGACTCAAGTAGAGACCCCGAGCTCATAGCCCCCAGACGCCATCAGACTCAAGTAGAGGCCCCGAGCTCATAGCCCCCAGATGCCATCAGACTCAAATAGAGACCCCGAGCTCATAGCCCCCAGACACCATCAGACTCAAGTAGAGACCCCGAGCTCATAGCACCCCACGCCATCAGACTCAAGTAGAGACCCCAAGCTCATAGCACCCCCATGCCATCAGACTCAAGTAGAGACCCCATGAATGACAACACTAGCATCCATCCATCCATAACATGCAATCAACCACCTCACCTCCGGATCCATTTCATCACTGGGAACCTATAATATTACCCAGAATCCCCACTGGCTCAATTATATATATGTTTGTTTGGTATGACAATGCATACAATTAGTCCATTGTAAGATTTACATTTCATTGTTTGCAATCACCTTATGTTGAAATCCACTAGGCAGGTAAGAAAATGAAATTGCAGAGGTGGATCCAGAATTTTGAACAAGGAGAGTGCACATTGTAAGGCATGAAGTAAACAAAACACATGATAGGTACACATCATCATCATCATCATCATCATCATCATCATCATCATCATGGGGCGGTCTGGTAGCCTAGTGGTTAAAGCGTTCGCCCGTCATGCCAAAGGTTTGATTCCCCACATGGGTACAATGTGTGAAGCTCATTTTTGGTGTCCCCCGCCGTCATCATCATCATCATCATCATCATCATCATCATCATTATTATCATTATTATTCAACCGATGTAATAGTAATATTTCATAGATATGAGGACATTGGGGAAGGTATATTTCTGAATTGTTTGATAGGCATTACTTAGAAGTTGCCAGATGACAAACAAAGTAGAGATAATTTATGGAATACAATATATATATTTCTGTATAGTTGTTTATTACAGTCACCACTGGTACAAACTGCACAGCATTAAGACTGGCACTTTGTGTAGCAAGCCTTGAGACTGGCACTTTGTGAAGCAAGCCTTGAGACTGGCACTTTGTGAAGCAAGCCTTGAGACTGGCATTTTGTGTAGCAAGCCTCGAGACTGGCACTTTGTGAAGCAAGCCTTGAGACTGGCACTTTGTGTAGCAAGCCTTGAGACTGGCACTTTGTGAAGCAAGCCTCGAGACTGGCACTTTGTGAAGCAAGCCTCGAGACTGGCACTTTGTGAAGCAAGCCTCGAGACTGGCACTTTGTGAAGCAAGCCTTGAGACTGGCACTTTGTGAAGCAAGCCTCGAGACTGGCACTTTGTGTAGCAAGCCTTGAGACTGGCACTTTGTGAAGCAAGCCTTGAGACTGGCACTTTGTGAAGCAAGCCTCGAGACTGGCACTTTGTGAAGCAAGCCTCGAGACTGGCACTTTGTGAAGCAAGCCTCGAGACTGGCACTTTGTGAAGCAAGCCTCGAGACTGGCACTTTGTGAAGCAAGCCTCGAGACTGGCACTTTGTGAAGCAAGCCTCGAGACTGGCACTTTGTGAAGCAAGCCTCGGGACTGGCACTTTGTGAAGCAAGCCTCGGGACTGGCACTTTGTGAAGCAAGCCTTGAGACTGGCACTTTGTGAAGCAAGCCTCGAGACTGGCACTTTGTGAAGCAAGCCTTGAGACTGGCACTTTGTGAAGCAAGCCTTGAGACTGGCACTTTGTGTAGCAAGCCTCGAGACTGGCACTTTGTGAAGCAAGCCTGGAGACTGGCACTTTGTGTAGCAAGCCTCGAGACTGGCACTTTGTGAAGCAAGCCTTGAGACTGGCACTTTGTGTAGCAAGCCTTGAGACTGGCACTTTGTGAAGCAAGCCTTGAGACTGGCACTTTGTGAAGCAAGCCTCGAGACTGGCACTTTGTGAAGCAAGCCTCGAGACTGGCACTTTGTGAAGCAAGCCTCGAGACTGGCACTTTGTGTAGCAAGCCTTGAGACTGGCACTTTGTGAAGCAAGCCTCGAGACTGGCACTTTGTGTAGCAAGCCTTGAGACTGGCACTTTGTGAAGCAAGCCTTGAGACTGGCACTTTGTGAAGCAAGCCTCGAGACTGGCACTTTGTGAAGCAAGCCTCGAGACTGGCACTTTGTGAAGCAAGCCTCGAGACTGGCACTTTGTGAAGCAAGCCTCGAGACTGGCACTTTGTGAAGCAAGCCTTGAGACTGGCACTTTGTGAAGCAAGCCTCGAGACTGGCACTTTGTGAAGCAAGCCTTGAGACTGGCACTTTGTGAAGCAAGCCTTGAGACTGGCACTTTGTGAAGCAAGCCTCAGGACTGGCACTTTGTGAAGCAAGCCTTGAGACTGGCACTTTGTGAAGCAAGCCTCGAGACTGGCACTTTGTGTAGCAAGCCTTGAGACTTGCACTTTGTGAAGCAAGCCTTGAGACTGGCACTTTGTGAAGCAAGCCTCGAGACTGGCACTTTGTGAAGCAAGCCTCGAGACTGGCACTTTGTGAAGCAAGCCTCGAGACTGGCACTTTGTGAAGCAAGCCTTGAGACTGGCACTTTGTGAAGCAAGCCTTGAGACTGGCACTTTGTGAAGCAAGCCTTGAGACTGGCACTTTGTGAAGCAAGCCTTGCACTGCTATTTGTGGTCCTGTGGAATGTTCTGTTGTCATCATGTTAACCTTATTGTTGCTGCTGTGATTAATCCATCAGTCCACTGTCATATATCTTGCAAAATATTTCTTTCAGTTTTATGGCAAGACAATTTTCATGAATACAAATAAAAAGACAGCAATGTCTAAATTCGATAGCATAGTTTTCATTTGTGTGTGTGTGATTTGTGAATACCATATTTGACGTAATAAGCGCCGAGGGCCCTCTCAAAATTAGAGTTGAAAGATAAATTTCGTGGATTATGCTGACGGCTTGAACTGTTTATATACGACAGATGTATTTTTCCAGAATTTAATTGCCCATAATTAATGGTGCATATAACACACGAGCACGTATTATACACGAATAAATAAGTCTTGTGTACATTGATCAATCGGAAGGAGTGCTTATTGGGATTGTTCACTTGCCAATATATTAGCAAATATCGCCGTGGGCGCTTATTAGAGCAGGGCACTTATTACGTCGAATACGGTATGTTTTTGTTGGAACAATCATTTAAACTCGCATTATGTCATATCCTGATGAATTATGGCTGCCAAATTGCTGATGACGCCATGGAGATTACAGGCTAAAATAGGCTCGGTGACGTGGTTAGTTGTAGTCATCATACGCCCACAGTGTGAATAGATGCTCACAATATTGATCATGGGATTGACTGGTCCAGACTCCAATCTCATTAAAATCAGATCTTAGTTCTCGCTACCACTAAACAATTATCTGAAGACATCCCATTAGGGGTCACGTCAGAACGACCTTTCATCCGATCAATCAGAGCGTCGCTTACCAGATTATGAAAGTGACAGTCGGAATGTGATTTTTAATCATGCAACCTCGAAAACTTTAACATGGGGTATTCCGAACGATAGTTACGGGTTTAACGACTGAATCCTTACAATCTAGACCATCTATTAGCCATTCCAGAATGGGTTTTTTTTGTTCAGGTTTCAAATTTGTAATCGATAATTTGTCAAAATATGTTTCGAAGCGTAGTCGCCAATTTGAAATTAGTGCCGTAAAGCACGAGAAAACTGCCTTCTGATTGTTTATTCAATTGATCGGTCAAAGTTCGCGCAAGGTCGGTCTGGCGTGACCCGTAATGGGATGTCCTCAGATCTTTGTTTAGCGGTAGCGAGAACTAAGGTCTGATTTTAATGAGATTGGTCAAGACTCCCATCATTAACAGGAAACTTTCATTGACCTTGAATATTGCTGAGTGAGGCCTTATACAACAAAGAAATAAAAGCATGTCCAAACAATAATCCTTTTTTTGGCTCAATAATGGAAGAGTGAGTGAGTATGGTTTTACGCCGCTTTGAGCAATATTCCAGCGATATCACGGCGGGGGACACACATTACACATTGTACCCATTTCGGGAATCGAACCCGGTCTTCGGCGTGACGAGCGAATGCTTTAACCACTAGGCTACCCGACCGCCCCCAATATTGGAAGAAGGTGTGAGTGTGAGTGTGTGTTTTTTTTTTTTGTTTGGGTTTTTTTTGGTGTGTGTGTTTTTTGTTGTTGTTTTTTTGGTGTGTGTGTTTTTTGTTGTTGTTTGTTTCTGGTTTGTTTTGTTTTGTTTTTGGTTTTTTTGGGGGGGATGCACAAATTGCCAGCCTCCACTCTAATGCGTCCTGCTGTGTATGCAAGAATCCAGGTCACTTATCACTATTGCAGGGCATGGAAGTGGCAGATGCAACTTTCATTATCCCACAATAGCCATTAATGATTCTGCGTGGGAATGAATTTATGTTGGGAAATGAACGCGTGTTAGTTATGTTACTTATTATGCATTAGCAGTGGAGGCGTCCACAAATCGATAACTGTTTTGCCATCTGTTTGGATTAACAGTATGTACATTGTCCACACTTGCCGTAAAAGGCGACGATGCTTGTCGTAAGAGGCGACTAACGGGATCGGGTGGTCAGGCTCGCTGACTTGATTGATGCATGTCATCGTATCCCGTATCGATGATCATCATATCAGTCACTGCATTGTCTGGTCCAGACTCGATTATTTACAGACCGCCGTCTTATAGCTGGAATAGAGTGCGGCGTTAAACAACAAACAAATCTTTGTCGTTATATTTACTCATACTAGTCATTACTAGTCATGGACAGAATCATATTGCCCAGATTTCCACAGAAGGTTCGGTGGGGGTATCCTTCTTCGCACCTTCGGCCCGTGAAGCACAATGTCCGAAGCGAATTTCCGATGTTCCCGCCATGATATGGCTGGAATACCTGGAACAGCAACATACAACTGACCCACTCACTCACCCCTCACAACAGCCATGGTATTGTAAACCCCCACCCGTACTCCCCACAGTTCAAGGTTCTAGTCGCAATGGTCTTGTCATCAACAAAACACCTCAATTTCCCAGTCAAACGCTCCATTCCTCATGTCACCCGATTAATTAATCGAGTGTGGACCAGACAGTCCACTGATTGACGTCATGAGCATTGCTCTACGCAAATGGGTACGATGACATGCATCATCCACGTCAGCGAGCCTGACCACCCGATCCCGTTAGTCGCCTCTATTGCACAACGTATCGCGGCGCCTTAGACGACTGGGCCCCCTTTATAACTATAATTTAACAACTGTGTGGTTTTTTAAAATATGTTCATTTCAGAGGCTACGTGTTAAGAGTCTACAGACACCCCTGTGAATCACATTAAAATACATCTCAGCAGTTACAGCTGCACAGTCGGATAGGCGTCTATAATATGAGTTATCATATTTGATATTCAATTATAATTCTAAACATCCGTGTTATTCTGGTAGATTTGACCCCGCTAAATTCTGTTTCGAATATAACACGCAACCTATTGTTTGAAACAAATTGAAATTCAGGGAGCCGGGAACATGTTTTAGAAGAAAGCTTTTGATGTCACATTTAACTTAATAGTACTAATATATGCGTGTACTTCTCAAAATGTTTTCGTTACCGGGTGATTTAATTCACTTTCGTGACTATCCGTTAAATATCGTGCATCCAGCATTTCACAACGGTGTCATGACATGACAAATAAGCAGAGTTTCTTTATAGACAAACACAGGTATGATAGAAACGGGTCACTATTGGCAACATATACCTATAACAGTTATTCGTCGACAAGGGGCGATCGGGTAGCCTAGTGGTTAAAGCGTTCGCTCGTCACGCCGAAGACCCGGGTTCGATTCCCGACAGGGGTACAATGTGTGAAGCCCATTTCTCTGTGAAATAAGTTGAGATCAACAACGAACCAGTTAAACGTCAATGTTGTATTGGTAAATACAAGGCTACGTCAGTGGCCGTTTGGACATACACACGCACGCACACGCACACACACACACACACACACACCAAGGCCAGCTGCTGGAGAAGTGAGAAATCAGCGTTTATGCTGACCAACAGGATGTTACATGTAGTAATATAATGCTAGTTACAGATAGTCGATTGTTATCAGCCATCAATAACATCAGCTAATAAAAACCTTGTCACGCACCACTGCACTGCTGTGAATTACTGAGCGTGTAATTTCAGGACTTTCACTTGAACAGTTATAAATTAAATACTTTCCACCAATGCTATGATTATTTGTCCCTCGGAAATTAACTCAATATATATCGGACAACTGATATTCGCTAAAAAATGGATCCGGTCATCAATCTCGATGACTTGGATGAATGCGTGCGATCGTACAACGATGGCCTGGATCGATGCTCATAATATCAATCACTCTCTGGTCCATACTCGAAGCCGTCATATGGCTGGAATATTGCTTGTTCAACATACAACATACAAACAAACAAGCAATGTCATATGTCCTACATACCATACAATGATACTTGTAAATAATAAGTGTACTAATTAGCCATCCATCTCCCCAACACCTAATGCAAGTTTTAATAGCTTGTTCGAGAAAGTATCCAAATCTGTGAAACAATAAATCGGGACTCCCATATAAGAAGTTGACAAAAACATTCAATCGTGGGTTCGAATCCGGGTTCGACTGATTATGTTTCTACGTTTGTCAGCACCACACCCATGCTCGTGGGTTTCACCGAAGTGGTAACTTCCAAGATCTGCATCACTTCGGGCTTTCCTGTAACATCAAGCTGAAACGCTGTATTGAAACAAAGCGGCGTAAAGTTATACTCCCTCGACCATAAAATATCACAACATTTGCATTTGAATAGTCTACTTCAATAGATAGCTACGATGAAATCGGACAGCATTATGTTGTTGACAGCCCTGCGTTAAAGTGCTTACCACTCAATAATAACTCGTGTATAATATAAACTATTTATCTGATATTTCGAACGTGTCATTTATTTTACAGTAACAGCTGTTAAATGTTTTATTTGCATTGGCTGGGATTGAAAAGCTTCACTATCGATATGAGAAGTGTTTTGAAAAGCAGGGAGATTGTGTTGAAAAATAAACATAAAAACACTTTCACAATTGTTGGTTTTGTTTGTTAGGCTTGGAACTTCCATCCTTCGTACAATACCTGAATTCACCGTAACCGGTTTCAGTGCTTAACGGAGCCATGTTTATGTATGTGACACAGTTGTAAACATATACAGTTAAATCAACATGTACTTTCTCGGTATAAATACAACCTACGAGACTATGACATTTTGTACACTTTTTGTGTGCTAAGTATAACCTTTAACGAACATATTTCAACATAAATTAAATCTTGTCTTCTTTTAAACATTATAAATACGTTTAGCCAGAGTTGCTGCCAAATGCATGTTCATTCATAATCAAAGCCAGTTCTTCTGAACTATATACAAAATGTACAAACTGATAATATGGGCAACTTTAGTATTGGTGAGACCTAGGTGTAATCCAAATAACAACATCTGGTAGAAAAATGCATTCGGGATAGATACGAGTGAGCGAGCGAGCAATGTTTTACGCCGCTTTTAGCCTTATTCCAGCACTATCACGGCGGGGGACACCAGAAACGGGCTTTACACATTGTACCTATGTTCACTGTAAATCCCATCTTCCCCAGGCAAGAGCGTTAACTGACTTTATAAATCCAGTTTCCACCTTTGCCGAACTAGCCTGGAATTCCTGGGCTCGATCGTAGCGCCACCAGTGGCTATAACGAGTTGTGTCCATTCTATGCCTCTCCC